TGTGTGTGTGTGTGTGATATCCTCCATATAGGTGAACACGTCCTGTAACATCTGGGGGAACAGCACTGAGTACCGGCCTGCCCCCACGGAGGAGGACTTGAGCCGTGCCCCACAGCTGGTGAGTGTCCCGTGCACCAGGAGCCAAGGGGTACAGGGTTAGAGGGGTGCTGCCTGAGCTCTGGGGGCTATTTCTCTCTTGCTCCAATCGTTTGCCAATAAGAGCTTATTGATCACCTGCATGTGCCCAGCCTCAAGCCACAAGGAAACTGAATGAGGAAAAGACACTTCTTGCCCAGTGTGAGCCCACCATCTCGCAGGAGATGGGGCAGACAGACACACAGAGGGGGTGCCTGAGCAGCCAGGTCACAGCCTGTGGTAGGTGTCGGGCAGGCGAGCAGAAAGGAACAGGCATAGAGGACTTGCACCTGGGCTAAAAGGGCTGGCAGGATACAGGTAAGCAGCGAGAAGGGAAAGAAAGCAGATGGCGGGCTTATATATGCTGTACGGCTTGTGTTGGAGGCATTTGACCACCTGACCCTAGAGATGGAATCAGCTCTCCAAGACATCTGCTAGTTTCCAGTTTTACCTTCTCAGGGTGGCCTCTGCCTCCAGATACCAATTTCTCAGTATGCTTTCCCTATTCCTTACCCAGACAGAAAGCTTAGCTGTTTTAGTTTGATTTCCCCAAACAAGTGCCTCACACAAAGCACTCTGTGAATGTAGTGGGGTTTACCAAAAATTTGGACTTGGGTGGANGTTCTTATCCCAGGCAGCAGGAAGAAAGAAGGGAAGAGCACACCCCTCCCGGGTACAGAACCTCCCCGGTAGTGGGTTACCTCTCATTGTCCAGAACACTGGTTTAGCTGTAAGAGAGGCTGGGGAATGTGGCTCCTTGTCTTGGGTTCTGCCACTAAGGAAGGAAGAGGAAAGAGAATTAGGAGGCAATGCAGCAATCTCTGCTACCGTGGGCCCCAGATCTCCCCTAGCCCTAAACTGCCATGAGTTTATCAGCTTCTCCTACAGCTGGGTGAGAGTTGGGGACAGGGTGACACCTGGAAATTGGACTTCAGACACACTGAGCCCTGCCTGGCTTGTCCAAGAGAGGTTTAGTAACCTGCCCAAGGCCACACAGCTCATACGTTGCGACAGCCCCAGGGTTATATTTCTGATCTTTCTTTTTCCAAAGCCCTTCTTGTAATCACTGGCACCAAATGTGTCACAAGTGGAATGTGAACTATCACAAATTATTTTTATCCTTCATCAATTAATTATTATTTCTCATAATACATTAATTGCTGTCACCACCCCAGCCTCACCAAAATCCCCCCACAGCCCAGAGGAGTTGAAAATGGAAGTGACCCCTGCTGTCCAGCCTCATGGCCCCCACCGACTTGTCCTTGGCCTCCAGCAGCCCATCCCCTTTCCACACTTTCTTGCACTTTCGTCCATCCCTGCAGCCCCCGCCATGATTTGGCCAAGCTTTGGAGCTTTTACAGTGAAAACGCTAGGGGCCTTGAGTGGGCCTTCCCCAGGCCTGGCTGGGGGGATTGCCACCCCCAGGGGCTGGTTGGCCCCTT